GTTATCATGTATTGACAGAAACTATGTCCTTGCTTCTCAGCAGTTTCTGTCTTTTCTGCTGCCTGAATTTTAACTCCTTCCTGGCAAATGGAACCAAAATCCTTGCAGCCTCACAACCAACCCAGGACAGACAATGTATAAGTGAGATTTATTTTCCCCTCCCACCCAGGGCCGGCTCTAGGCACCAACAAAACAAGCAGGTGCTTTGGGCAGCATATTTGCAGGGGGCAGCATTCGCGCCATCCTTTTTTTTTTTTTAACTCACTTCCTCCCTTCTCACAACCCTGCAGAAGCGGAGCCATTGAGCAGCTGGATATCCAGCATGGGAGCTGAAAACCTGCAGGCCCCTCGGAGCTGTAGTTCCTTGCCTAGCTCCCTGCCTATAGAGCCAGCCCTGGAGCAGGGAAACAACTACATTTCCCAGCAAACCCTTGGCAGCTATCAACAGGAAAGGGAAGGAGTATGGTAGCTGAAACCTCATGCTGCAGCTTGCTGTGAGTTGAAAGGGGTGGCCCTGTGAATGGGGAACAAGTGTGCCCAAGGAGTAGAAGGCTTTGGCCCAGGTATCCCCTTCAGAAGACTTCCCCAGACTGGATTAGGGATACTGGGGTGACCTCACCTTGCAGCCCCCAAAGAAGGAATTGGGTGGACTAAATGGACAGTGCCCCTGTCTATCTGAAGCCTAGTAAGGGAGGTACGTGGATCCCACTAGAATTTAAAATGAAAAGTAAGGGAGGGGAGGCTCTGCTAGAGGACCTGGGCAGCTTTAGATACAGTACCAGGCACGTAGGAGGATTTCCACTTCTGAGCCATGGAAGCAGAAACAGACTTTTCCTTTCCAGATTTAGCTAATATTCAGAAAGGGAATCTAGCACCTGCCTTCCAGATTTGAACACCTCAAAATTCAGGAGTGCTCAAGCTCAATTTGGGCAGCTGTTACTTCATTTCTCCCAGATCAAATATACTGATCCACTGTAACTTGCTGTAGAAAAAGTAGGATAAAATTGAGCAAGAAATGCTTCCCAGTGGTTATTAGGACTGGAATTGCTATTTTCAACAGCCATTGCCTTTTTTTTTTAGTTTTTTTTAAGTTTAGTTTTATTTGTTTAAAAGAAAGACTGTGATAGTGCATTCCCCATAGAAACAAAGAATGGAACAAAAGAATAATAAAGGCACCTCAACTTTTCCTCATTTATGTCTTATAATGTGCATCCAGATATCCTCCAGTCACACAAGCTGAAAATTGTTCCACTTTACTGCAGTTCAATAACCATATGGGAACCAATCCTGTCTGTGTTCTGTGCGCATCCAAAATTCCTGCTGAATGACCCGCCCTGGGAGCGAGTTACCAGTGACCGAGGGCTGGGGCAGCAGGAGGGTGCAGTTGGGAGGGGGAGAGCTCAGGGCTGGGGTGGGGGGCAGCCAAACAATTTTTTGCCTGAGGCAGCAAAAAACCTAGAGCCGGCCCTGCTCAAAGTGCTAATATTTAGCCTGAGGTTAAAAATAATAAATTTCAAATGTTATAAAAATGAACTGCAATTTAATCATCTAATAAGTAGCTTACTGGAAAAATATAGTTCAAGAAACTTGACTGCATAATGACCCCAATCCTGCACCTGGGTGAAACTATCAAAATTAATGGGGCTCTGCACAAGCACAGAGATTTACCCAGATATGACCTACCCACATGTATACAATTGCAGGATCAAGCTCTTCATAACAATGCAATCAAAAGTACCAACCACAGAATAATCTATAATTTCATGCATTACAGTATAGTAATAGTTCCAAATACACCGCTACCCTGATACAACGGGACCCGATATAACACGAATTCGGATATAACGTGGTAAAGCAGTGCTCGGGGGGGGGCGCACGCAGGGCTGCACACGCCGGCGGATCAAAGCAAGTTTGATATAACACGGTTTCACCTATAACGCGGTAAGATTTTTTGGCTCCCTAGGACAGCGTTATGTCGAGGTAGAGGGGTATAGGGGAAAATCCTCAGTGTACATTGACTTAGCTTCACTGACTGCAAAAGAAGAACACCAGCATACATTAGCTATGGTTCTGGCCTACCTGGAGCAAAAAGCTGTAAGTTGTTTACTATCATTATACTGAGTGCAGACAGATGGGCAATATAGTTATAATAATACAGCATACCTGTTCTGTTTCAACAAAATTAGCAACATGACCATCATCATTTGTTCCCCGGACGTTAAACCTGGTCCCAGCTCGTTCACAGCTTAGTCGTGAAATGAGGCAAGCCTTTGCCTGTTTGTGAGCTGCATAAATTGTTCTAATCTCTACTCCTCCACACATGAGACGCAATAACCAGTCATCACAGTTCACACCATAGTGTTTAAGATGCAAATGCAGGGATTGGTTCCTATCAGAAACAGAAGGGACTCAAATTAATGACAATTAGAGAGAAATAAAATGGCTCATTTTGTTTAGGCAACTGCTGTCTTATTTCTGAAACTCCATACTCAATATAAGGAATGTCAAGAGGAAAGCTTTCCATAAACATGCACAGTTTCATCCACAACTCCTATTTAAATATATTTGACATAGCAAAACCTTCTAGACAGTAGCTTAGATGTCTGTAGGACAAAAATTGTCTGTAGTGAATTTTGATGGACATAAAAACTGACAACCTAGAATCTTTTGTTAATAGTGCAGATTCCCCTATCCCTTCCTACTAATGTGAAAACCATGGATTAGAGAATAGAGTTTTCATGGTCAGTCAGTCAGCCTCAGAGAAAATAAAACCAGAATGTCAACGGTGGGGCTATTTTGTGTGTCATGTGTGACCCACGAACTCATTTCATATAGGCCACCCTATAACCAACTGGTACACTGCTAAACAGGACAGAATTTGGACTGGCTACAAACTGAAAAAAAAAACCACTCTGTGTACACATTTAACAATTTCTTGGGACAGTTTCCCACCCCCAAAAAGCTTATTTTAAAACCGTGGAACATGTTACCATGTCAGAGATCCTGTATTGCAAGAATAATTCAACAGGCTTCTAGGAGTGTCATCAGTATTTGGGACATCTCAGTTTTGTTCAAATGATGTTCGCTTAAGCTAACAGTGCTTGTTTTCTTTGAAGCACCCCATGACCATTGTCAGTTCACTGCGAATTAGTCAACACTACAGCCTAATGATAAACTCATTGATCCAAACAATGGGATGGGTGATCATGAAGTGTAATCCAGGTTGTTAAACCACTGGTTATGGGATTTTGTAATAGGTATACAAGTCAAAAATTATAACTTTGGTGTTATTATTGTGTAATGTATGAAATATAAAACTAAGTGAATTCAGTTTTTGTTACTCCTTCAGTCATACTCTGGGTAATGTTTAGTGTTAACTACAGGTAACAAAAACAATGTAATTACAGTAGTAAGTGTTTCATAAACAATAGTATAGACACTAAGAATTCTCATAAAACAAAATATCTAAAGTAGTATTTTAAATTACTAATATGACAGTCACAACGGTAATATTAGCAGCATTTCATTAGTTAATTCAAACAACTTTTTTATACTGTGAAGCAGGGTTAGTATGAGAGAAAAGGTAAAGAGGGGTAATAATTCAGAGTGCTGACATGTAACATCACATTCACAATGTTCTAAAATTAAGTACAATGCAAATGAAAAAAGCATAAACTAGTCTGTGAGCCAACAGGAAGCACTTTAAAAAGAAATTGTCAGTATCTGGTAAATAAGATTATAGTTTGCAGCTAGTGTTTGGCTTTTGTACTCCTTTTGAGTGAGAGATTCACTTATGAAAAGAGGGGAAGTTTATCGAATAGGAAAAAAAGATATGGTCAGTAAGACAGCTGGTTCTCAGAATATTTTATTGTAACCACAAATAATTTCTTAAGAACTTCTCTTAACACTCTCAGTACATTAGTGGTTTATTTTTAGGTTAGTTGCTTATTTTAATAGTGTCTCCATTGTTTTTCAAAATACATACCTAACTTTTAGCAAGCATTCCAGAGAAATTTACAAGTATTTATTAATGAAACCTCAAAAATTCTGTGGGTTGGGTATGTATTATTTTGCAATACAGTACAAAGATATGCTCTGTTGAAATAGGAGATTGGGAAAGTAAACAACATTTTTCTTCGTGGAATCTGACAAATGGATTTCTATACAAAATTCTTGGCAAGATTAAAATGTGTATACAGAATATTACTTTTTAAAACTGATTTTTAGTGTTTAGTTTTCTTGATATGCAAATCTGGGTCATTTAATCTATTTCACATTGTAACTAGTGATTTACTGGCTAGCTATTGAAGGCATAAAAAGCAGGCGATTTAAATTTAAAAAAAATGAAAGTTAAGGATGCACAGAAAATTTAAAGCTAAATTGATTTGAATAGCCTTAAGTTACTAGCCTATTCAAATAGCCAATACCAATTTCCTGGGGTATTGGCACGCAAAGATAAGAATTCTACTGGAATTTGTGTATGGAAACATTCCTGACCTGACCCATCTCCTCAAAGCCCAGAATCCTCCCCCCACCCTGGTTGTGTATGCTTGACTTCATACTACAACTCTACCTTGTCATCCCTCTATCCCCACTTCCCACGAATAAGTGGCAAAGGGTAGGACAGAACTGGCACAAAAACAGAGCTGCTCTAGGCTCAAGGTGCCACGTCAGTGGAAAAGTTACAGCAGGTGGGAAACAAGTAGCTTTTCACCTCTTCTAATGTACATGTACATCAACGGGGCAGTGTTGAGTCTTTCAGTAGTTGTAGGAGGGTTACCTATCTTCACTAAGCATGAGAAATTGAAGGAAGGAAGGCTAAAGGCAGGGGAGAAGAGAAACTGGAGCAGAACCTCACCTAAGAATCATAAGAACAAGTATACTAACCTTCAAAAGTTTTAAGATTTACTCTTAAGAGTTGTAATACTGTCCATATTTCTCACGATTGGCACTAATTGACCCATTTGTTTGCAGTCTCAGCAGAAAAAAGCAGTAGTACTTGTTTTATCAATAATTACATATATAAAAAAGCCACATACAATTTATTTAAAACTACCTTCTACAATGAAGGACACAATGTAGTTAACTGTGTAATAAAGAGTTGCAAACAAAGAGTGAAAGCAACATGTAGTTTCCAAACAACAGAGGGAGCATCACAGTTTTAGGGCTTGTCTACACTGGCAATGTTAAAGCGCTGCCCCGACAGTGCTTTAACGTGACTTGTTTGGTCGCAGCACTGGGAGAGAGCCCTCCCAGCACTCAAAAAAACCCACCTCCACGAGGGGCATAGCACCCACTGGGTGGTGCACTGTCTACACTGGCATGTTACAGCGCTGAAACTTGATGTGCTCAGCGGGGTGTTTTTTCACACCCCTGAGAAAGAAAGTTGCAGCACTTTAAAGTACCAGCGTAGACAAGCCCTTAGAAACAACAGTGCTCAAAAGTAAGAAATGCCCTTTGGAATCTCCCAGCCAATACCAGTTTTCTATAGAAAAGCAATGATACATTTTATAGAGGTTCAATTAGTTTCTTCGGGCAACACAAAAAGCAAAATGTTACATCATTGTGACAAGCGTTTTGATCAAAGTACAGTATTGTCTGTTTTCACAACTTGATCTTTGAGTGAAGACAACACCCCAAACTGTGTCTGATTGTTATCACAGAAAATGTTCAAACTCACTTTTATAGGAGTCTGAAATAAAACATGGAATTATATATGAGTGCAATTTTAACAATCAAGATTTGCAGAACAGAGTCAATGATCAAAACTTGCCATAGATCAATATGTACACGCATTACATTACATCAGGCCTGGCAAAATGTATTATCAACTCACCAGAAAAACCTATTGTCAGTGGTGTGTTCTTGCATGCTACGGTGAGCATTAAGACTAAGATCTAAACTGACCCCAGTAGCAGACCATGCAAAATAAAAATTTCCTGAGTTCAAAACTTTGCGCACTTCTGAAATACGATCTTCATCTGAAGGGTCACTTCGTAATGATATGAATTCAGTGGAAGTAACTCGAAAAACTTCAGATTCTTGTATCTTTCCCACAGACATACATCCTGTGACTAGAACCAGATAATGTAACAAAGTGTCTCCTGTAAAACCAGAAATATAGTTGAGTGATGAATTCTAATTACAAATATTTTAAAGATAACAAGGGAACTCATCAGTGATTTTCAGCCTTTTCCCCCCCTGTCCTAAACCCAATTTGCCATTTCAATATAGCCAATGGTTACATCCACCAAGCTTAGTTCTATAGCTCTGGAAAATGTACTTACCGTATATATTCATTCATAAGCCGAATTTTTTTAGTACAAAAAGGGAAGCACCAGAGAAGGGGGTCGGCTTATGAACGGGTATAGAGCGGGAGAGGTGGGACACAGCCCCTCCTCCCAACAGAGGGAGCAAGGAGAGGCAGCACAGCCAGCAGAGACAGAAGGGAAGAGGTGGGGCCAGAGTCTCTCTGCTTCTGGCCACACTGCTCTCCCCCCAGCCTCTGGAGCAGCTGCAGCTCCGGGGCTGGCAGGCTGAAGCTGTGCCGCTCGGCTAGGGTTACCATATTTTAAGCCTCCAAAAGGAGGACACTCCCGCCCCCAGCCCCGCCCCCAACTCCGCCCCTTCCCCAAAGTCCACGCCCCAATTCCGCCCCCTCCCCTGCTTCCCGTGAATATTTGATTCGCGGGAAGCCTGAAGCAGGTAAGGGGAGTGTGGGGGGAGGAGACGCGGCCCAGTCTGGCCCCCCCCCACCCCCCCGCATCTCCAGCCTGGGTCAGCCCGCCCAGCACTGCCGGCCCCCGGCCGGGCCCCGCTGGCCCGGCTCCCGAGCCCCGGCTCCCGAGCCCCGCCGACCGCCGGGCCCCCGAGCCCCTGGCCGACCCCCGAGCCCCCGGATTTGGAGCCCAAAAAGCTGGACATGTCCTTCAAAATCCGGACGTATGGTAACCCTACGCTCGGCCTCACCCCGCAGAGCAGACTGTGCCCGTGCCGCCCGGCCCAGCCCACTGGAACACGCTGCGGCTGCGCCACCAGGTCTGGCCCGCCGGAGCAGGCTGCGGCCACGCCGCCCAGCCTGCTGGAGCAGCTCCAGCCTGGCCAGAGACATCCTCCCCTGGCTCTTCCCAGATAAGGTGGGGAGTGTGGGGGTCCTGGGCTAGGGGTGGGGGGTGGTCACAGGGGTTACTCCCCTGACTCCCAGCTTCTCCCCCCAAAAAAAATTTCCCCATCAGTTGCTGTCCTGGCCCATCAGGGTAAGCCGCTGGCGTGACGGAGCTTTGTTTACTTAGGTTTATCTCTGTGCCTGCAGACGCTCGAAGTAAACAAACCATCTCGACCCGCCAGCGGCTTATCCTGATGGCCCAGGAGCCAAAGTTTGCTGACCTCTGAATTATAGGGTCAGCTTATGAACAGGTTATAAAATGTTTCCATTTTTACTTATCCATCTTGGGGGGGGTCGGCTTATAAACAAACCAGCTCATGATCGAGTATATACGGTACTCTTAATTTTTAACCAAGGCAATTCCTTTTGGTATTCTATTTTGCATGAATATTTTGACATAGCAATACGATAACTTTACAAGTCATAAAACAACTATATACTATATCTAGTTTTGGGTTAAGTATTAACTTTGTTCATTAAACAGTGAAAATCGAATTCAGAGGCAGTACAGTGAACCTTGCTGGGCAGGTGATATTGGAAGATATTGGTGTTCTCTTCTTGAACAAGTATACACATGCACCCCTAATTTGTGAGCTCTCAACTTCTCCTATGGAAGTCAAGGGATTGCAAACACGGGGAGTGTATTACTGAAAGCAAGAGGGGTGTGAAAGTGGAAGTTATTTGTGTTTACTCTGTTTGTAGTAATACAACATGCACAGTACAAAAACTAAAGAAAGCATAATCCTTGTCCTGAAGATCTTACAGGGACAGAGAGGCTCTCTCCAATTAATAAATCACCTTTTTTCATTTTTTTTAAACTCACCCAGATTTAACCTTAATACACCTAAGAGTCCATATGCATCCATTACTTTGGAGTATGAGCTCTTGATTGCCTCTTTCTCTGCAGATGCTATAAAAAAAAAAAAGAAAGTCACTATTCTAAAAAAAACCCTTTTGACTTAACAGTGTAGCTCTGAAAATAGTTCCATTCTGAACTGGAAATTTAAGAAAAGACAACAATAATGCTTAAGGTATCTGAAGCTCTTAGAAAGTTACAACATTCATTCAATTATGTCACTATTCCTAAGGACTCCTAGCAGCATTAGTGACATTTTAAAATAGCAGCCGCTCTGTCTTCTGGGGATTACAATAGATTTTACTTGTGTTGCTATGTGAAGATGAACAACATGCCTCCTATCTTTGCTAAGCTTTAGCAAGTCAGTGCTTAAAATAGTGAACACTGCCAAATTTTAAGACTTACTTATAGAAAAGTCAACCTTGAACCAAGACACAAAAGGGGGAAAAAAATAGAAAGAGTGAAGAACTACAGTCTTTCAGTTACTGCTGTTACTCAAGTACCAGACCAAAGCACCAGTTCCCAACCTATCACCTAGAGAAATTGCTTCTGTTTTCTGATGACCTAAAATGGAAAAAGCAGGAAGAAACAGAACTAGCACCAGTGGCAGAAAAAACAGGCCAGTAGACTCAAGACAACGAATTTCTTCAAAAATACACCACCGTCACTTCGCTGCCATTGAAGCAGCAGTCACACCCTGAAGAAGTTTCAAACCCACTCAACTGCATAATCATAGACTTACAGAAACGAACGGATGGAAGGGACCTTGAGAAGTCATCTAGTCCAGCCCCTTCCCTGCTCTCCTCCCACCTCGAGACAGGACAAAGTATACCTACACCATCTCGGACAGATGTCTAACCTGTTCTTTAGAAGTCTCCAATGACAGGGATTCCACAACCTCCCTTGATAAGTTATTCCAGTACTTAACTGTAGTTAGAAATTTTTTCCTAATTGTAGCCTGATTTAGGGTGTACTAATAATATTAATTTGGATAATATGGGAATTTGAATTATTAATTTTATTTTTTATCATCATCATCATCAACAACTAATAATAGTATGGGTTTTAGGCTTGTTAATTTGTTTGATTAGAAGAGAAAAGTTTTTGTTCTAAATTAGGCTTTACAGAATTTACAAAGGACCCTCTGGGGTATGACAGGAAGCTTACACTGACACAGATATAGCCTTAAAGACTTTTATTAAAATTAATAATAGTAAGTAAATGGTAAAATATTTAGTTACAAAGTTACAACTGCACTACGGCTATTTAAAAGATGTATATGCTAATATAGTATTATATGCAACAAAGCTTTGGTTAATATACTTACACCCTTTTTTGATAACCTGGTGGTAAGAGAGACAGGACCAGCCTTGCAGTTTAGGTTTTTTAATTTTGAGTGAGGGATGCAGTGCTTAGAAAAATTTAATGCTAAGAGCTATTAAAACTAAATTAGGGTTTACTTGACTAACAAACTTAAAATTAAAACCTAATAAACAAAACTAAGAATAAAACTTAGGGAAACCAAGCTTAGCCTAGTTTTTTTGAAACTTAAAGTTTAAGAAGAAGTATAGCCTACTAATACTAGTAGTTATTGTAAATAGATAGACTAGATAGAGAGATAGAGTAGAAATAGAATGTAAGTGAGAATGATAGAGCGGAGTGCTTTAGCGAGGTGGGTTACCTTTTTTATAGGGCACAAATGACTTTTTTTTTTAAATGCCCAAATTTTATTTCTTACCCACAAAATGTTAGGGTACGCTTACTTTTTAAGTTAGTATGTATGTGTGTATTGATGACATCTTATGTGCGAAAATAAGTTTTTTTGTGGAGTACCTGTTAAGTTAGTGGATACAACATTGAAAAAAACCCATGCCATTCTTTATTGTTTATTGGTTTAGATAAAAGGTTATAGACATAGGAGTGGGTACTTATTTATTTAGGTAACAAGCTATAGATTAACTTTGCTTTTTGAGTAAAAGGTTTTAATATAGATATGCTAACTTTGCCTTAGCTTAACACACAGGATATGGCCTGTAGGTTCTTGCATTACAGCCAAACTTACTTTAATATAAATTTATAAACCTATTACAATAAACCAAATACTTAAACAATAAGAAAAGATATATATGCAAGCAAGCAGGTTAGTTCTATAGGCTACAAGCTCCCGTTTGATGGGGTGGTTTGCACCAATGAACCCCGTCACACAGGTAGGATGTAGGTGGTTAAGTATTTGTGGGGACAGTTTTAACGCCATTTTTATAAAGATGATAGGCTGGGTTAGACTGAATAATAGTAATTTTTTTTTGTAGTTTGCACAGAACAGTGTTTGTTTTAAACACGTTACACCTACAGATGCACTGAGGCTTTTTTTTTTAGTGCTTTTTAAGTTTGAGTTGCAATGTGACAGTCCACCAGGGGAGGTGCATTAATGCATTTTTTATAGATGGATGTTTTTGGAGGTGACCTATAGAACGGACAGCAGTCAATTGCCTGTACACATTTTTGTTTGGATTAAATACTGGTAACAAGACCGTACATGAGACATACAAAGGCTTGGTCTACACTAAACCCCCAAATCAAACTAAGGTACGCAACTTCAGCTACGTGAATAACGTAGCTGAAGTCGACGTACCTTAGTTCGAACTTACCGCGGTCCACACCCGGCAGGCAGGCTCCCCCGTCGACTCCGCGTACTCCTCGCGGCGAGCAGGATTACCGGAGTCGACGGGGAGCACTTCTGAGTTCGATTTATCGCGTCCAGATTAGACGCGATAAATCGAACCCAGAAGTTCGATTGCCTGCCGCCGAACCAGCGCGTAAGTATAGACAAGCCCAAAGATTGTGCCATTATACAATTTTTTTTGAAAGAAAACAACTGTTTTGGTTGGGGTGAGGTGTTACAGATTTTATTTTTTTATAATACCCACTGACAAATGCTGGCATGAATTTAAACATGTGGATTGGGTTGTTTTTTTAGCTTTTGAAAACACTTGGGACAGTACCAACTTAATAGTTGCTTATTTTTAATTAAGTTAGGAACCTTTTTTAATTTTAAGTATTGTAATGCATTAGTGATTGCATTAACGACATTTTTCATATGCAGAGCATATTTTTTTTAATGTTGATTTTTGTGCTTATTGTTTAAAATGATTAGCTGATTAATTTTACATTGGGTTTTATTAAACAGTTGGTTATGTTATGCATATTATAAACAGTAAATTGCTTTTTTTGTGTACAAGTTTTGGGTTGAGTATAATAGTTTGTTTTTTTGTGTTAGTATGTTTTGTTTTACGTGCTCAGGCAATTGAGCACGACCATGTTGTTTGGTTTTATGGGACTGTAACAGTTTAGTTTTAAATTTGTGATTTTGGCTTAGTTTTACCCTTAGAGCAACAATAAGGTAGTAAATTAGAAATATTAATGTTTATTTTATGGTTGCAATTTGCTGGGCTTATTTGTTGGATGCTGTTTACTTACTTTTTGAGGAGGAGATTGCGGATTAGTATGATAGATTTTGTTTTTATTGCACATGCCTTTTGTTATTTTAATTTTATACTGCTGAACTGAGTTTATCGGTGATTCGGAAAGGTTCGATTTATTACTTACACAGCCCATGTTTCGGTGATTTATACAACAACATTACTTGTTTTTAAACTTAGGGATTTATTAATTATTATTAGGTTTTTTTTTTAAGTAAGCCTTTGCCTTTTGTTTGGATTTTTTTAATTTGGCTGTTACCTGCAAGTGGATTTGATTTAAATGTTTTTGCAGATTTTGCAGGTAGGTATTTAATTTTATTTTTTTTAATTGACTGCCACTAGTGTGCCAAATTAAATGTTTTGGTAATTGCATTGGTTGGCCTGTTATTTCTTTAAAGGGTACTTTATTAGTAGATGCAGCCGGTGTTGCTTTTAATGCCATTAAAATTAGAGGCATGAGAGTGTTTTAGTGATGTTTATTGGCATTAACCAGTTTTTTTTAACATTAGTTTTATTGTTTGATTGGTTTATTTTACCATTTTTAATGACTGTGGTTTGTACGGGATGTGTAGTTTTTGCGGGACTTTTATTAATTTAAGATAGCTCCTAAAGAACTCTTCAATTAAATGTGATTTTTGGTTTGATTTTACCTTTGCAGGGATTTTTTATTGAGAGAAGACTTGCTTTATTAGGACCTTGGCGGTGGCTTTTGCAGTATTGGCCTTAAGAGGAAATGCCTTTACTCACTTTGAAAAAGGATTGACCACTAATAGGTATTGGTTACCTCGGAGTTCTTGGCAAAGGACCTACAAAGTTAATCTGCAAAGTCATTTAAGGACCTTTATACACCTGAGATTTTAATGGCGCATATTTTTTGTACAAAGGATTTACTGTTAGCGACCCTTTTTTTTGGTTTTGGAAATCTTTAAAATTACTTTTACTATGTTTTTATTTGATTTTTGCATTTTTATTAAATTTGGTATGAGGTTTACCTTGATGGTAATGACTAGAACCAACAACAAAGAAATGATACCTATTAACAGAAACTGTTTTTTGGATTAATGGTTGGAAAGGCTTTTGTTCTTTGTTTTTTTTTAGATTTAATTGATTAAGATTGGGACACATATGTGGCTTCCCTTGGTATAGTAGGGCAGTTGGTAACAAAGATGGTGTTTTAATAGGTTTTACTGCAATATTGTTTGTTTTTGCAGCAGTAATGCCCCGTGGGCTAGGCGAGCATTTGAGACTTGCCCATTTTTTACCCTATTGGACAGTAAGACCTGAAAGGGAGTGTGCGAGCAGTGTAATATGATTGGACTGAGGCCAATTAGAAAAGAAAAGTGTTGTATGGCCCAACTGGTTGCCAATAGGTACTTTTTATAATTGTTATACTTAAGTTTAATTGATGACATTAAACTTGAGGCACAGGCCACAGGTTTGATTTTTTTTATGCCATTTTTGTGAAGCCACAGCCGCTAACGCATTAATACTTACCACTAACTTTAGATAATACAGTCAAACCTTGCAATAACGCGCCCCGCGATAACGCGAATTCAGATATAACGCGATCATAAG